AGAAAGGTAGTTTGTTGAGCGCCTCCTTTGATATCAAAGAGATGTTCAGTCGACTACCCCATAATTCTATCATGGAAGCGCTTGACTGGATACTACATCACTATGCCGGAAAAGGGAAAAACAGACTGGCGATTAAAAAAAGAGGGAAAGGAACGTCGTTCTCAGTGAAGAATGGATCTGATAGCTGGTTGATCATTAGCTTTCAGGAAATTCTCAATATGATCAACTTTGAACTTCAGAATACATATGTCGTGGCTGCGGACCGACTTATTAGACAAGAAGTTGGCATTCCTATGGGCAAGAGTACAAGCCCACCGTTGGCTTGTATACTCTGTGCCTTTAACGAATACAACTTCCTGTCTAGTATGGGATCGGACCGAAAATCGGTTAAAGGGATTCGACTAATGGATGACGTTTCTCTTTTCATCTGGAGCGATGGAAAAACGAATAATCGTAAGGCGTTGGACATTATTTCTCGGTTTTCAACGGCCTATGACAAAGCATTAACACTGGAACGAACAGACGAAGGAGAAGGGGAATGGGAATTCCTTGGGACGAAGGTACGAGTGGAAAGGGGGAAAAAAGTGACGACCCAGCTCGTCCAGAGAAATCTAAAGGAGATCTGGGAAGATGGCATACTAAACCTTCAGGACAATCCAAGATTTTAACTCGTACTCGGTTGTTTCACAGAAAAAGGCGGTAATTACTTGCTGCCTGCATAGGATCTACCAGATGACATCTGACGTACAACTGACTGGCCTTGGACTGCTCACCTTAAAAAGACTCCTAAGACTGCAGACTTACCCGGGTAAATACTTCAATGAATGCCTGAGTAAGTTCATTAGGAAACGAGCGCCCTCATGGAACGAGTGGGGCAGGAAATTCTGCGGGTGGTAGGTCAGGATGAATGGGCTGAATAACATCTGACTGGTGATTCGGATTTTGTACAGTGAGGAGATTGTCTGTAATTTGGTGCAGCGATAAGCGGACAGATAGTTCTACTTCAACGCGTTTGCTGTTATGTCCGCAACCGTTTTCCAAGCAGCTACTGGATGGACGTGTGGATCTGCGATATCTTCTCAGATACTCGGACTTGGATTTTTGGACTTGGAAATTGAAACTACACAGGCTCTTTCCGGGACCTGCCTGACGTGATTACGAATACGACGGACTTTTCGTCAGACCTACATGAGCTGTGAGATAGCGGGGCTGTTTATCTACAATCTCTCCCGTGGATAATCGGTTTTTGAACTTGGAACTACGGAGGCTTCGGATTTCGCTCGATTTATTACATATACGACAAAGAATTCCCGTCGTTTTAGGTTTTAGGATTTGAGCTCAGATTTCAGAACTGGACTTTGGAAAACGTGTTCGGGGATTAAGGCAAGCCAGGGTTACAAGGGACTTGTAATTCTGGAACGGGAAACGCACGTACCTGGTACCGACGAGCTGATCCTGCATGGAAAAGAGAAACGATATTAGTATTTATCCACAGAGTAGGTTCTACCAAACATCTCGGAGTTAATGTTTTCCCTCCTGATGAGGCTGGCCCTGGCTCCAGCCGAAACCGGTCGAGGGTAGCCAGACTGCCGTCCGCCCGCGGGCGGTAGGTTGCCATAGCTTAGACTATGGCGATACTCTTGTAGAGTAATACTCTTGTGTTTCTTCTTCCTATCTGCATAGAGTAATACTCTTGGGTTTTCTTCTTCCTACTCGTAGAAGTATCTTAATTCCGAGCCTTTTCACATTTTGGCATGTCGTCTTGCACGCTACGTGCCTGTGTTTGCGTACTGCCGATTCAGCCCGTGCTGACGTCGGTGCTCTCACTCTCCATTCCAATTCCAATCCAAACTGGAATGGGCTTTCTGGGAAGGTGCATAAGTCTTAGATTGAACTTTCAGTTAAAAAAAAAGAAAAAAAAAAAGAAAAAAAAAAAGAAAAAAAAAAAGAAAAGAAAGACACTAACTGGCCTATCTCACTTGGTACACCGCCGAACTGTCCAACCACAGACCCGGGTTCGATCTTCACTGAGAGCAAATGATGAATGAAATACTACATTCTGAATTACCTAGGGCTGGTCCGCTCCAGGGGGCCGGCGTGATCCCACTAGCAAATAGGGGGATCGGATAGAATGCCTGAATCTGGACGTGTTTGTGGAGAGGTTCAGGAAATGGAGATTGAACTGCTTTGCTGCATCTGTGCATAAAACACATCCAGATTCAGGAGCTTGATCCTATCCTCTTTGCTAGTCGGACCTCGGCCCAGATGAGATGATGTCAAGGCTGATGCCGTTTTAAAAAAAGAAGAAGAAGAAAGACACCTGTAAAGCCAGAAATCCAAGAACATTGGGCCTCGTTCCACTACACAATACTCTAGTTCATGCATTTGGACGCTTTCTGGCCCCAATACATTCCAAATGTTTGACTCGTCCGGATGCATCTGGTCCAGAAAGCGTCCAAATTCATGTAGATTGTTGTATAGTGGAGCGAGGCCCATTGTCAGGTGTCAGTGACAGTGTCTCTCAGTCTGTTCTATGATGCTTGACTGCCCTTTTTTTTTTCCCTTCTTTTTCTTTTTTTCTTAAATGATGCTCGACTGCATTCTTCAAATTTGATTGCCCATTGATTATGCTGCCTAATCGAACGTGCCCTGCACCCAAACTGAAATGGGCTTTTATCCCGAGCTTCCTCCCCCCACCCCCCACCCAAAGGCGTGAACTTCCGTGAAGGCTTGAAAGCAGCTCATCTCCAATCAACAACCATTGAATTCCGAAGTGTTGTAGTTGTTGGTTGTTGTTGTTGTTGTTGTTGTTTTTTTTTTTTTTTTTTTTTTTTTTTTTTTTTTTTTTTTTTCCCTTGTACAGAGGGCCTAAGTTTGAACCTGCTTGATGTCCGATGAACCTAGCCTGCATGTATACATTTTTATATATATTTTTCCTGTTCCTTCTTTTTTCCCACAGAAGTTACAAAACCAAAAAAATTAATTATGCGCTGGGAAATGGGCCCACCGTCCTTGACATCATTCAAGTTGACTGCAGTCGTGGGATCAGCGAGGCACACTCCGGCCATAATTGATTTCTTTGAAAATTCAAAATTGAAATTCGTTCAGCTTTACTTCGTGAAGTTATTAACTCGACATTTAAGTAAAGTAACATTTGAGTTCCAAGCTCGTTTTTTTTTTTTTTTTTGGGTTTTTTGTTTTTCGAACTCAATGTTACTCAGATGTTACGCTTACGGGGCAGGTGGCCTGGGTACTTCAGTTAGTATCTGGCTGCGCGCTGCCTGTTCTTATGATATGGGCACATTGCCAACGACTGAGGCTACTTTTTCCTTTTTGCTTTGAAAATAGAGCTTCGTCAGAGGGATTTTCCTGATGCGGACAAGGCCCTCACAAATTTTAACATTAAAAAATTGTTGGGGGGGGGGTCTGCTGGACCGCTGTTTTACCAATTGGGTACTTTAGCTGGAACGCTTAGGAACTGGGACCTGGGCAGTTCCAGGGCCTTTTTTTTTTCTCCATAGGAGTCTTATTTTATCATTAGCACTTTTAGCCATTTATTACATTAAAAAAAAAAACTTTAAGCTGTAAAGTCATGTAAACAGTGATATTGACAAAAGTCAGTCAGAAGCTGTGTTCATTGTTGATATCAACATTAATTTTTCGTACACTTGTTGGCTTTTGTGTTCTTTCGTGCACTGTGAGCCTGCTATGTGAATGGTGGTAATCCACAACCCTGTCAGAATCATGCTGGTGCCAATTCTATCTTTGTATCTTTCTTTGTATCTTTCTTTCTTTCTTTCTTTCTTTCTTTTTTTGTCTTTTTTTCTTTTCTTTTTCTAGATAAAAAGTTCACAAAAACTCTTGCTGTTTGGATGCTCGTTTTATTTTTGCGACATCATTTTTCGAATTTATACCTGCTTCGCACTTTTCTTTGCAACTGTTTTTTTGTAATTCAACTGCAAACACATTGCTTTGACATTGTCCTGATTCAGCTCTCATTTCAACTGAGTTGTTTATTAAACCAGAGAGGGGGGAAAAAAAACAGAGAGGGGAAAAAAAAAAGCAGAGAGGGTAAAAAAAAGCAGAGAGGGTAAAAAAAAGCAGAGAGGGGAAAAGCAGAGAGTTAATTAAACACGCGGCTACATAATTGGTCCAAGTACCCAAGTTAGAAAGGGTTATAATTTATAAACCAACGGATGTTTGAACATTCGTTGGTTTTAACTTTGAACTTGGAAGTTTAAACCAAAGGGAATATAATTTTGGAACAACTAATATGCATGTGTGGGTCACAGTTATCATAATGGTGTCTTTCTTGGTTTAAAATTTAAACTTTAAACCATGGTTCAAAGGTTTTCAAACCCTATGCTGGGTTAAAGTGAAAACTAATTATAGATTGGATTGAGCCTGGTGCAAACAGGGAGTCAGGCGGCTGTGCAGTGTAATTCCTTGTGGATGGGTGGTGGATTCAGAGAAATGGGTCAAGCGTCTGAGGATGCATTTGACCAGAACCATGACTGGATGCAGAAGAAGAAGAAGAAGAAGAAGAAGAAGAATGAAGAAAGAAGAAAGAAGCGGAAGAAGAAAAAAGACGATGGGTAATGAAAAATAGAGGAGGAGGAGGAGGAGGTGGATTAAAAAAAAAAAAAAAAAAAAGAGAGGAGTGAAAGGAACACCGGCAAGCTGTTTTTCAGAAGGCCGAATACTGTACTGCCATTAGATGGACCTAATATCTGTAACGGTTCTTCTTCCCCTTTTATAAGTTTTAAGTTTTAACCGTTCTTACACACTGTCAGTTGAAACTTGAAAGCCCTTAATTTTTATTTTATTTCTTTACTTGGGTTTTGCCTTCTTCCCTCTTATTGAAAGCCATTGATTTACTTGAAAGCTACAGACAGCGATTTAATTAATTGGTCTGCAGCTCCAGCCATGCTGTTCTCTGATTGACCTGTCAGGTACATTGTATGTGTCTGCTTTCCTGTCTGTCACCTGTGAATGTGCAGTATGTGACAGCTGCCATGCTAGCAAGGCATGTTCCGCGTGGGGGTGCTCGAGTCTTGGACCTGAATGTTGCGGGTGGGAAAAACCTCTACTACCTGCCGAAAGATGTCGTCCAAGTAATTGCAGTTAATCCAAAGGCCAGCAGGCAACTCCTAGATAACCAAGGTTGTACAGCAGTGCATCTCTCTCTCTCTCTCTCTCTCTCTCTCTCTCTCTCTCTCTCTCTCTCTCTTGAAGACGTTTTGTGTGCCATTCCTTTTGTTTGCACTTCTTTTTCAGTTGTCTGTTCCTGTCTTGTTGCATCTGTCTGGCTTTGTGTATTGTTCTTTATTTATTTACGTCTCTTTTTCTGTGTATTGTTCTTTGTGTATTTACCTCTATTCTGTGTATTGTTCTTTGTGTATTTACCTCTCTGTTTGTTTGTGTGTGTCTTCTTGTTTTTATTTGTCTGTTTGTTTGTCTGTGTTTTTCATGCGGTCCTCTCTCTCTCTCTCCCGCTCCCTCTCTCTCTCACACACACACACAAACACACACACACACACACACACACTGTGTCTTGCTCTTTTTCTTTTTAAGGGGTAGCAATTTACAGGTAATTTATTGTATTTGGCAGTTTCCATCCAGATTTGAACACATGATCTGTTTACTAACAATTCCGTGACACTGTGCGTACCATTGCTTGTCTGTCTGTGTGTGCCTCTTCGTCTTTACCTCTGTGTCTTCTTCTCTTTACCTTCCTGTTTGTTTTTTTATCCGGCTGTGTCTGCATGTGTTTGTCGGTGTTCATGTCTGAATGCTACGCTTCTCCACCGTGGTGACGGAAGGATGTCATTCTTTGCTGACTCAGCTGTGCAGGCAGGCGTGCCGATCGTCTTTGAGGACATGACGGCATCTGGCGCGCTGGATTTACCATCGAACAGCGTCGATGCTGTGGTGAGGGAAACTTCATTGCATTTTTTATCGTGCTCCTTAATACTATGATGAAATGTTATCTCCTCCCTTTCGCCTCCCTTTATATGGGTCAAAACATTTGGCGCAGTTGTACCTCAATCACCCTTGCATTGAATTGCTCCCATCCTCCGCGTCTCCCGGGAAAAAAAAAAAAAAAAAAAAAAAAAAAAGAGGTCCAGGACTTCATCTCAATTTAATGCTTTTGTAGTAAATTTGCTACTTGGAAGTTGGAAGCCTTGGTCCAATGAAAAACTAGGGCTAGCTTAACAAGTTTATTATTTTTATTTTTATTTTTATTTTTATTTTTATTTTTTCTTTATTTTATTTTTATTTTTATTTTATTTTTATTTTATTTTTATTTTTATTTTATTTTTATTTTTATTTTATTTTTTTAACAAGTTAATTATTTGTTCCACCCAAAATGGGACGGAATAAAGTTTCATACATCAAAACATTCAGTGTCGTTATACTGCAAGATTTCATGCGTCCCAGCATCCAAGATCCAGTCCCCGTCCCAGTATTCCAAAGTACCATGTACCATAGTCCCCGTCCCGTCGATAGGATGGCTAGGTCGACTTTGGCAGGCTGGTAGGTCTGTCAGTCCAGACAGTCGAGTCAGTCAGTTCAACCCAGTTGGCAGCACACTAGGTAGAGGAATTGAACCTGTGACGGTCACCTTCAAGGCTTCAACCGAACGTTTTTGCATGGGCATACTAAATTTAGTGATGATCTAGGCTACCCGAGTGACCCGGGGGCACTTGCCTGGCCGGGCCAAAATATATTTATATATGTTTGACAATATAATCGGATATGTATACTCCCTCTCTGCCTACGGTTTACCGAGCAGCTCTGTTTGACGATAGTCTGTAGAGTTTTCCATCTGGTGTGGGTGAGTGATAGTCTACTTTGATTTTGGTTAAGGTAGATCATCACTTACAGTGTAATCAGTGAGGGGATTCTGCAGACTGTCGAGGGTTCAGCCTCTTGATGAGTCGGTGAAACTCCGACGAAACAGTTTGTCACAGCCCCTCGTTTGTTGTCCTCTTCTCTCTCTCTGCCTACGGTTTACCGG